CGGCTTTCGCTTGAGGACAAGCGAGGTCTAAGCTTGGGGGAGTTGATACGTCCATTTTGCATCATGCTTTTATATCGATATTTATTGCATTATGGGTTGTTATTACACATTATGTCACAATACTTATGCCTATTCTCTCTTATTTTACAAGGTTTGCATAAAGAGGGAGAATGCCGGCAGCTGGGATTCTGGGCTGGAAAAGGAGCAAATAATACAGACCTATTCTGCACAGCTCCAAAAGTCCTGAAACTTCACGGAAGATGTTTTCAGAATATATAAAAAATACTCAGCGGAAGAAGTTCACCAGGGGGGCCACACCCCGCCCACGAGGGTGGGGGCGCGCCCTACCCCCCTGGGCGCGCCCCCTACCTCGTGGGCCCCCTGGTGGCCCTCCGGTGGCCATCTTCTGCTATATGAAGTCTTTCGATGGGAAAAAATAAGAAGCCATCTTCTCGGACGAAACTCCGCCGCCACGAGGCGGAACCTTGGCGGAACCAATCTAGGGCTCTGGCAGAGCTGTTCTGCGGGGGAAACTTCCCCCCCGAAGGGGGAAATCATCGCCATCGTCATCACCAACGCTCCTCTCATCGGGAGAGGGCAATCTCCATCAACATCTTCATTAGCACCATCTCCTCTCAAAACCCTAGTTCATCTCTTGTATCCAATTCTTGTCTCCAAGTCCGGGATTGGTACTAGTAGGTTGCTAGTAGTGTTAATTACTCCTTGTAGTTGATGCTAGTTGGTTTAATTGGTGGAAGATCATATGTTCAGATCCTATATGCATATTAATACCCCTCTGATTATGAACATGTTTCTGCTTTGTGAGTAGTTACGTTTGTTCCTGAGGATGTGGGAGAAGTCTTGCTATTAGTAGTCATGTGAATTTGGTATTCGTTCGATATTTTGATGAGATGTATGTTGTCTCTCCTCTAGTGGTGTTATGTGAACGTCGACTACATGACACTTCACCATTATTTGGGCCTATAGGAAGGCATTAGGAAGTAATAAGTAGATGATGGGTTGCTAGAGTGACAGAAGCTTAAACCCTAGTTTATGTGTTGCTTCGTAAGGGGTTGATTTGGATCCATATGTTTCATGCTATGGTTTGGTTAACTTAATACTTTTGTTGTGGTTGTGGATGCTTGCAGTAGAGGTTAATCATAAGTGGGATGCTTGTCCAGGTAAGGACAGCACCCAAGCACCGGTCCACCCACATACCAAATTATCAAAGTACCGAACGTGAATCATATGAGCGTGACGAAAACTAGCTTGACGATATTGCTATGTGTCCTCGGGAGTGCTTTTCTCTATATAAGAGTTTGTCCAGGCTTGTCCTTTGCTACAAAAAGGATTGGGCCACCTTGCTACACTTTATTTACTTTTGTTACTTGTTGCTCGTTGCAAATTATCCTATCACAAAACTACCAGTTACCACTTATTTCAGTACTTGTAGAGAATACCTTGCTGGAAACTGCTTATCATTTCCTTCTGCTCCTCGTTGGGTTCGACACTCTTACTTATCGAAAGGACTACGATAGATCCCCTATACTTGTGGGTCATCAGTTAGCAGAGGGCGAGGGTGTGGGAAGCTCATATGGAAACGTGTGCTCGTCAAAAACAACGTGGCGAGACACTATAATGCGCCGGGAAAGGGGGTCGTAGCACCTATAACCCTTATGTTCGAGAGGATAGCCGAGGAAAATGCAGCGTGTGGACCATGGAGCAAGCTTGTGTGGCGTGGTAGCTGAGAGGTTGGGGAAACGAAGGCAGCCGAAAACGCGAAGGTGATCATATGTGGGGTGAAGACCATGAAGGCGGTAATATGGTGTTTGGTTGTTAATGGCACACGAGGGACGTCGATTGAGAAGGTAGGTAGCGGTGTGGAGGGCTTCGACCCAAAAGGGAGGGGTGAGTTTGGCTTGGATTAGGAGTGTGCGAACTATATCATTGGTGGTGTGAAGTAAATGCTCGGCCTTGCCATTTTGGGGAGACGTGTGAGGGCATGAGAAACGGTAGACTATGCCGTTGGTAGAGAAGAAAGAGCATAAATCGGAGTTAATGAACTCGCCACCGTTGTCACATTGTAACACTTTGATGATCACATTGTATTGAGTTTTGACATAAGCAAAGAAACGTTGTAGGGTAGTGGATGTGTCGGATTTGTGGCGTAGAGGAAACGTCCATGAAAAATGAGAGTAATCATCAAGCACAACGAGATAATATTGGTAACCAGAAAAACTCGCAACCGGAGAGGTCCATAAATCACAATGGATTAAATCGAAAGGAGCAAACGTGCGACTAGTGGAAGAGGGAAAAGGTAAACGTGGTTGCCGCCCAAGTTGGCATGCACTACAAGGAACATGAGGAGATTTATTACATGTGGTAAGAAAAGCATTGTCTAAAGAGCGAAGGGTATGAGGACTAGGATGGCCGAGCCGACGATGCCACACATCACCATCAGAGACAGTAGTGGAAAAGGCAGTGCGCCAAGCCTTGTTGCTGTCGTGAAAGGGGTAGAGGTCGCCGGAGCTAGCGTAGATCAGGATGACTTTCCGTGTGCGGAGGTCCTTCACAAGAAAACCAAACGGGTAAAACTCTATAGAGCAAGAATTATCCTTGGTAAATTGACGAACGGAAATAAGGCTGGTAGTGATGTGAGGTGAGAAAAGAACATCATGTAAATGAAAGTTATGTGGGGAAAGGAGTGTGGAGCCAGTGGCATGTATGGGGAGATGAGATCCATCTTGATAAATTATGCTTAGAAGGAGAATTCGAGAAGGTGAGGTTACCAGAGTTGTCGGTCACGTGGTTGGAGGCGCCGCTGTCGAGGTACCATTCGTTGGAGGGGGGCCCGGGGTTGGGGAAGCCGTGGGAGCTGTAGGCGGTGTGAAGCATGGCGAGGTGATCCCAAGACGGCGGCTAGTGTGGCGAGGGCGCGTGGTACGGCGAGTATTGCACCGGATAGGCGTGGGCGTGGGATCCCGGACGTGGCCCAAGCACGCCAGCAGAATTGGGAGGAACCCAGCCGGGGCGTGGAGGAGGGATCGCCATCCCATAGGGGGTGAAGAAGCCCATGTAGGGGTTGTAGGCCGGCAGGGCGTGGCCACGACCGCCCGAGTCGCCGCGCCCACGACCGCGCCCGTGGCCGCGCTCACCACCATCACCTTGACGAGAAGAGCCGTTGCCACGACTGTGCTGCTGGTTGGAGCCCCGATCGAAGACCGATCCGCGCGCTCACCTGAGCGGGGGCCGGATCCGTCGTTGTTGGGGAAGCAGGAAGGCCCGGAGGAGCCACCGGTGTCGGGGGTGCCGCCGCTCCCGTGGACAGCGAGCACAGTGGCGCTGGCGTCGGAGGTGCGCTGAGCCTGGTTCTCCTCGGCGAGTTTGACGCGCAAGAAGATGGTCTTGAAGGGTGGCAAGGGAACGGTGTCCCCCAGAACCACACGGATGGTGTCGAAGCGCCCGTCGAGGCCGTGTAGAAACTGCGTGGTGAGGTCGACCTCGGTGACGGCATGATCAATGTCCGCGAGACCGGTGGTGAGGAGCTTCATGCGGCGCGCGTACTCGTCGACGAAAAGGTCACCCTGCTTGAGGTTGCGGTACTGCCGGTTTAGAATCATGTAGTGGGCCGCACGATTGGCAAGGAAGTAGTCTTGGATCCGAGTCCAGAGAGCATAGGTGGTGGTGGCGCCGATCACATGATTGATGATCTGATCTGTAAGGGTGGCGTACATGGTGGGGACGACATGGGTGTCAAGTTCGAGGTAGTGGCTGTCGGCGTTGGGAGGTGGTGGATGATGGATGAGGTAGGTGACGTCGTAAAGGACCATCAGGAAGAAAGATTTCCACTTGTAGTAATTGTTTTCAGCAGGGTTCAGGAGGAACTTGATGTGGCTAGTGAGATCCACGTTGAGGATGGGGTGGCGAGCGGGTGGTGCCGGCGGCAGCGGCTGTGGGTTGGTGGAGGAAAAGAGAGGAGCAAACTGGGAAGTAGGGCTGGGAGAGGTGCCGGTGAGGTGGGCAGAGGCAGTGCCGAAGACGAACGGCGGCATGGATGTGCCGGCGGCGGTGGCCGAGGATGAGCCGGAGGAGGCCGTCGAGGAGAGGGAGGCCGGCGAGGAGGCGGGCATGGTGGCCGCGGAGGAGGAAGAGGAGTGTTCGGCCATGGAAAGACCTGGAGACACTGATACCAAGTTAGACAATAAAATGATTGCCCTTGATCTCTGATTACAGTACAACAACAGTCATTACATATAGAAAGCCCAAGGAAGTAGGCACGCAGGCCAGGGCATTGGTTGAGATTCTAAATTCTAGGGCTGGACGTGCCAGACTATTACAACAGAAATATTTACGTGTTAACACTGTTCCCCGCCTTGTTCGACGGCAGCGCGCGCGGGGGGGGGGGGGTTCCGACTCCCAGCTGAGGTGAGGTGAGAATCTTGGATTCCCTTCCTATCTGAACCTGGCTTCTCTCAGCGATTTGGGAATTCTGGCCGTCGGATCTCCCCCTTGATGCAATTTGGGCCGTCGGATCTGCCCCTGAGATGAGCTGGGCCGTTGGATAAAATTCGGAGTTGGAGCGCTGGACAGTAGTTTTGTTTTCTCACCTCGGTATATTGGGCAGATGTGGCTGAGCTGTGGGGTCTTTCGTCCGTGGGCCGTGCCAGTCAGTTGCTGTGGATAGAAGAGTGGCCAGTGCGGTCCTTCTGCGGTAGAAACCACATGCCACCACCTGTGATTTCGTTGCCCCGCCGAGGGTATTTTTGGGATTTCCAATACTGGACGCCACATGGCTTCCCTTGGTTCGACCGTTCGAGGCCTCACCCCAAATCGAGTGACAAAGTAGGGTTCCATCTTCTTCCTCTCCCTCTCCCCCTCCCTCGAATCTCTCGCGCAGCCGTCGCTCCTCTGCCTTCCCTCTCTCCCCGCTTGACCCGCCGCCCCTCGCGCGCCGCCATCCGCGCATTCTCCCCTGGATGCGGCGAACACGAGGAACAAGGATGGCGACTGGGCGCTGCGGGCACACAGAGCACGCCCCAGAGCTCCACAGCCTCTGGCTCGGCTTCTCGACCAGCGGCCGCCTCTGCGCGTGGGACAACTTGTGTGCCCTCATTATTACCACTGAAGCCTGCTCAAAGGCGAAGGCCGCTCATCTCCATCACTGGGAGGAGCGCCAGCCGCCGAGACAGCCATCCACTTCGCCATTGCCGACGTCCTCGCCCCGGCAGATCGAGAGAGATGCGGAAAAGAGGCGGGAGGAAGAGGAAAAGACGTGCCAGCTCCATCCCCTCCACTGCGTTGTGCGCCTGGCTCTCACCTGCAACCATTCTACCTCCACCCCCTGCCAAATTCTCCATCCCTTTCTTACAGGTACCTACCTCCACACGCTCACTCTTTCTCATGAATTAGATTGCTCTCATCCCTCATGATGTCCTGTCTTTGATTAATCCCTATAATTTGTCTTCTTCGTTTGTGCAGATTCCTGTAAGTTCTTATTGTTCGGCTACCTGTACATGGATGTTTATCCCAAAAAATAGAGAAAGAATCAAGTGTTCCAAATGCTCAATGTGTTTAGGATCCATCGCGAAACAGTACAGATATAAGCCATCTAAAAACAGACTGGTCATTTTGTTTTCATTTGCTTTTGGTTTGGTACTGATCAATAAACTGCTTAATATGTTTTAGGATCCATTGCTTTTAGTTTGGTACTGATCAGTAATGAAAGCAATGGAGCAAAGCAATACTGATCCAACTGGTGTGGGGAGTTGACGGCCAACTAACCAAAAGCAATGAAACAAAATGAAACAAGAGAGATGGTTCAGAGGTGTGATGTACTTCCTTAGTCTTTGTTTTCCTTTTGTATCATTGCTCTTGATTTGTTTACTGTGAACTTTCTCTCTACAGTCACACGCCTATAATCAACCGGTCCAGGTAGACGAGATAAGGTAAATGTGATTGCATTAGCAAACTCCATTTTCGTGTAACAACAAAAACAGAGGAAACTCCATTTTATTGTAATTACAAACAAAGAACTTCTAGACGGCGAAGCTGCTACCCTGCTCCTCTCCCTGCAAACCTCCTGATAAATGAAATATGCTATTTGATTATATATAGTCTGTCCTAAAGGTGCTGCCCTATCTGTTTAGTGGAGGTAAATATGTTCAGGTTGCACAAGCATACCTGTGAGGGAGGTGGTCTGCTTAAGTGTTTTTACAGATGCAAGATACTAAATACTTCCCTATCAGTGTTTTTCTTCTCTTTAGAAGATTTGGAGGCCCTCAAATAGTGGTTGATGATAGCTTGGTTTTGTTGTTCTCCAATTAAGGAACCATCCCCGCATGCTTCTGTAAACTGGATGGTTGCATTCCGTTGGGAGGAGAGGGTTGCCACCATCGTTATCATGGCGGGCGGGCGTGTGCG